AAAATCAACGTTGAATTTACGTTGTTTCAACGTTGTTCTAACGTCTTATCAACTACGTATCAATCGAATATATCACCTATTCAAAGTTGAAATATGGTTGATATGTAGTCGATAAGACGTTAGATCAACGTTGAAACGACGTAATCATCGACGTTGTTTCAACGTCGTAGTTTTCGACGTCGGATTTTATTTCCAATTCAACCAAATTTCAACGTTGTTTCAACGTGGTATATGGTCGGTTTGCGACGTCGTTTCAACGTTATTTCGACGTCATTGTGCCTGCTGGGTATAGAGGACATGCAAATTAAAAGAATAACGGCTACAAACTTTTTAGGAGTTTTTATTGATGAAAATCTGAGATGGAAAAAACACATTGAAAACTTATCAACTAAAATTTCCAAAAGTATAGGAATACTATTCAAAATAAGAAACATGCTAAATAGACATACTTTAGTTCAGTTATAACGCTCTTTTATTCATTGCCATTTAAACTATGCTAATGCGGCTTGGGGTAGTGTTAGCAAAACTAAATTAGAACCACTTTATCGCCAACAGAAACATGTTGCACGACTTATTAATTTTAAAAATCGTTCTTATCATGCTAAGCTTCTTTTAAACGAAATGAATGTTCTTAATATATATCAAGTTAATATTTTTAATGTATTGTGTTTTATGTTTAAATGTAAAACACGCTCATCTCCAATTTCTTTTCACAATTTATATTCTTTAAAAGTTAAAAATAAATACAATTTGCGTAATGAAAATTTTATTCTTCAACCAGTTTTCAAAACTAATTTTGGTAAGTTTTGCATTTCGTTTAGAGGAGCATTTTTATGGAACAAAGTAGTATTAAAGCTTTTTGATTTTTCCCAAGAATGGAGCTTTCTCATATTTAAAAGAAAGTTGAAAAAAATTCTTTTCTCAATTGAAAACATTCTTATATATTTTTAAGTTTGTTTTGTTTTATATTAATACTCTTAGGAAATCTTTTTATCGTAATTTATATATATGAAATCTTTTTTTTCTTACCTTATATATTTATATATATATAAGTATATATATTTGTATGTTTTTATAGAATTAAATGTGTAAAAAATTATATTTTTATTTAAGTGTGAATATTTATATATGAATTATTAGAGGATTATTTTTTATTTAAAATCTGTTTAGGCGGTTTTCGATGACAAGATCTTATGATCTTCTGCGAGTATCCGCGTTCTTCTTATTTTAACGCTAACAAAGTTTGTAACTTTTACTATATGTATTTTATGAATCTTATTCATTCTTATATTGTAAAACTTACTTTGAATAAATAAAGAGGACAAAAAAAAAATACAAGGAACGGGGGGGGACATTTATTATTTACTGGAAAATTTTCCCACTACCCTAAGCTTATTAAGATCCCTAAGTTTATTAATTTTTATTTGCTTTTGACAAAAACTTATAGCTCATAAATGTAAATAGTGCAGAGAAATCCTCTCATACAGAGAGGTTTTCTCTGCACTCTGATTGATATATAAAAATGTTGACAACTTGAAGTGGGTCACTTCCACTGACTCCTTAATTTTTACCAAAAAAAGGCTCCTAAAAAAGATGCGTTATGTTGGTATGTACATATATAACCTAGAATACTTAAAAATTGTGTTTTTCTAACCAGAAATTTCTAATTAAATATTATTACATTGAGAATCTTAGACTCTAAATAAGACATTAAATATTAAATGTTAACATTAAACATTAATATTTTATCTGAATGAACTTTAGTAAACCTTTCCCTTTTTCTAATAGTAATAAAAAAAAAGACCTTAAAGGACATATTTATTTTTGATGAGGGTTTGAAGTGTTTAAACCCCCGGTAAATCCCTTTTATCGTATTTTAAATTAATTTAACTACGGGAGTTAATTTGTGTAGAAATAGATTAATCGGAGAGTTAAAATGTTTTAACCAGGAGTTTTTTTAGAGAGTTTTAATTGGGAGATTTTTTAGGGAGTTAATCTGTTTCGCTACACGAGTAGCAAGTATCTAGTTTTTTTTTTTTTAAACTTATGAGGCTTGGACTGGCATTGAATAACGAATCTCTCAGTCCTTAGCGAGAGCCATTACGACTGCGTTACGGCTGCTTACTTTGTTCCGTGAAGACGAGGCTGTGCTATTAAATACGAGAATTGTAATTAATAGAAAGTTATTTATAATCATTCTAAAAACAATAATATGCTGATTCGAAATTTTTTTTTTTTTAAAGTTAGTGAAAAAAAAAAAAAAAAAAAGAACAATTTTTCCTCACACTGAACTTTAGTTTGTTTTGATTGTCACAAGCAAATCTCTTTGAAAAATCTCCGTTAGAGATATTCATAAAAAGCTCTGTGGTCATAAGAATATTTTATTCTTGTGACTGTCATAAGACAGTCACAAGAATAACTCATTCTTTTGCCATGAGTCACAAGAATAACTTATTCTTGTGACTATAGACATCACAATATTTGTGAAGGCGTAGTTCGGGTAAGATTGTTTTTTAGGAATTTTTATTTTTGCGAAGTTTTACGTTTAATTATTTCTTCTTTTATCAACTATTTTTTTATTAATTATTGTTTATTAATTATTATATTACCTTTTGTTAACTGTAATTACTTTTAAAAATTTAATTTAATAGATGCATCAAAGTCTACATAAATCAACTGATAACAGTTAGTTGGCGTTTTGGTTAAACCATAAAACTTATTTCTACTTTTTTATATTTAAAAGTTCATGGTTTAAAGTTATTAATCATGATGATGTTATTGAATCAATAATATAATAGGTATGGTAGGGTAATGAAAGAGCTTTAATAAAGTATTTTAATCATGAAAAAAATTATTAAAATTGAACAACTCTACAAAATGTTATAAGGTTTGAAGTAACAAATTTTTGTTCGTTAAAGAAACTGTGATCAAAGTTTAGTTTATATCTGAATTGTTATGACTTTGTCAATTCTTATTTAAATAAATATAACTCAATATGAAAAGATGCAACATTGGGCTACCATATTAAATTAGTTTCTCAACGCCGGGCGTATCTTAGTGGATAGAGGGGGTGCCAAACCACCATCTTTATTATAAAAAATGCGTAAATCTTTCATAATAAGAGTAATTTTTTAATACAAAGTTATTAAAATTTTATTCCAGACTAAAAAATATATATATTAGAGCTGAAGGAGGATGAGGTGGTGATGATTCAAGACATTCTATTTTCAAAAACGCTTTATTCTTATAAATAAATTTATATTCATAAAATTGGGTGAAATTAGTTTGCAATTTACAATACATACAATAAAAATTATGATTTACAAAATTATATAGATATTAGTACGTTATACATCAACATATAGTAGGACAAGTCTTCCCACCCCCACCCCAAACTAAAAAATAGAAGATAAAAACTTGAAATCAAAAAAGTTTAATATGCAAAATTTTAATTACTGATGAAAAGTTACTCCAGACCATAAACAAATGAGGTGTACATTGGAAACAATTAATTGGAAACATTGACATTAACATTGGAAATGGAGGAAAATGTGGTGGTAATGGTTTAACACACCTTAATAACAAAAATGTTTACTCCTTATAAATAAATTTATATTTATTAACTTTTATTATTAAACAATTTAAAACAAAAACAATCAAAAATATATTTTACAACAACTCTATTTGACATTAAATTATCAAAACATTTTTCATCATTGTAGACAATTTATATAAATTCTAAATTTTGTTGAAAGATAGTACAAGTACTTAGTGCATTAATTAGAACTTGTTATTGATTTTAAACTTATTGAATTATTCAAAGACTCCCAAAATCTAATATTCTGCAAAATAGTGCAGCTGAGTAATATATAGAAGCTTGAATTGTTGCAAAATGTTTTTTATTTCCTATATACTTTTAACATGATCATAAATAGCATCTTCAGTTGATATATAACTATTTTATATATATATATATATATATATATATATATATATATATATATATATATATATATATATATATATATATATATATATATATATATATATATATATATATATATATATATATACATGTATGCATGCATGTATGCATGTATATATATGTATATATGTATGTAATATATCATATTTGAACCTTTCCGTAACTCCAACCCTAAGCTTGACCTTGATGCTAAACCAAACCAAACCCTCAGCCAATGTAGCGGCACTCCATTGCGAGTCAAGCTATTTGATAGTTGATATATGAACATTTTACTCTCTATAAAAGTTTCTTACGGGGACATTCTTATAGTTGTGTGTATATATATATATATATATATATATATATATATATATATATATATATATATATATATATATATATATATATATATACATACATAAACACACATACACAAATATATATAAATACATGTATATATGCATATATATATATATATATATAATATATATATATATATATATATATATATATATATTTATATATATGTGTGTGTGTGTGTATGTGTGTGTGTATACATATGTATGTATGTGTATACATGTGTATATATATATATAAACATAAATATATATATATATATATATATATATATATATATATATATATATATATATATATATATATATATATATATATATATATATATTATATATTTAAATCATTTAAATTAACTTCACATTTAATATGTGAAGTTAGTTTAAAATGTGAAGTTAATTTAAAATCCATACAACCAAACTTATGTTTTTCAAGAATGTACTATACATTAACTTATGGGAGGCTGATCTATACATTAACTTATGGGAGGGTGTGTTTCCCTTCCCTCAAAAAAATAGAAAATAAAAAATTTTAAATACAAAAAAGTTTTTAAATTTTAAAAAATTAAAAAACTTGAATTTGACTTTTGACTAAATTCAATTTTTGTTGTGGTTTTGTTTAGTGGCCTACTCTCTTTTTTTCTTTTATTAGGTTTTTCTATTTTTTCTTTTATCAAAAATCA